CAACTCACCACCCGATGCGAAGTTCGGGCCAACTCATCAGCCCCTGAGCTGTTCGGGCAGCGAGTTGGTCAGGCGGTGAGGGCATAGGGCCAACTCACCACCCGATGCGAAGTTAAGGCCAACTCATCAGCCCCTGAGCTGTTCGGGCAGCGAGTTGGTCAGGCGGTGAGGTCATAGGGCCAACTCACCACTCGATGCGAAGTTCGGGCCAACTCATCAGCCCCTGAGCTGTTCGGGCAGCGAGTTGGTCAGGCGGTGAGGGCATAGGGCCAACACGGAGGTACGAGGGGGTACCAGGGGTCCCTGAACACGGGGGTACGAGGGGGTATCAGGGGTCCCTGAACACGGGGGTACGAGGGGGTATCAGGGGTCCCTGAACTCGGGGGTACGCAGGGGTATCAGGGGTCCCGAAACTCGGGAATGTGTGGGGGTATCAGGGGCCCCGAAACTCGGGGGGTTGCATGGGTGTTTTTTCTGTTAACTGTTTTGTTTGTTGGTTTCTTCTGTTGGAGTGTTGTGGTTTGTTGTGGTTTTGTGGTTTTCCTTTCGTAGTCGTTCCTGTGGAGGGAGGCTGTTTGTTTGTTTTCAGCCTTCGGTGGTGGTGGTGTTGCCCCTCGCCTGTCCAGGTGGTCAGAGTGAGGTTTTGACCTCTCAGGCAGGTCACCCGTCCTTGTCCTTGTCCTGTCTGGTGTGTTGTCTGTTGCAGTTCCTTTCTCCTCTGTCAGGTGGGCTTGCAGGTGGTGTTTTCCAGGGGTGCTTCCTTGGTATCCAGTGGGTGTTTTTTCCGCTGGTTTTCTTGGTGGTCTTCCTGTCCTTCCTCTGTAACAGTCCACATCGGAAAAAAAAAAAAAAAACTCACCACCCGATGCGAAGTTCGGGCCAACTCATCAGCCCCTGAGCTGGTAGGGCAGCGAGTTGGTCAGGCGGTGAGGTCATAGGGCCAACTCACCACCCGATGCGAAGTTCGGGCCAACTCATCAGCCCCTGAGCTGTTCGGGCAGCGAGGTGGTCAGGCGGTGAGGGTATAGGGCCAACTCACCACCCGATGCGAAGTTCGGGCCAACTCATCAGCCCCTGAGCTGGTAGGGCAGCGAGTTGGTCAGGCGGTGAGGTCATAGGGCCAACTCAGCACCCGATGCGAAGTTCGGGCCAACTCATCAGCCCCTAAGCTGTTCGGGCAGCGAGTTGGTTAGGCGGTGAGGTCATAGGGCCAACTCAGCACCCGATGCGAAGTTCGGGCCAACTCATCAGCCCCTATCCAGTGGGTGTTTTTTCCGCTGGTTTTCTTGGTGGTCTTCCTGTCCTTCCTCTGTAACAGTCCACATCGGAAAAAAAAAAAAAAGCCCCTGAGCTGTTCGGGCAGCAAGTTGGTTAGGCGGTGAGGGCATAGGGCCAACTCACCACCCGATGCGAAGTTCGGGCCAACTCATCAGCCCCTTAGCTGTTCGGGCAGCGAGGTGGTCAGGCGGTTTTTTTTTTTTTTTTTTTCCCGATGTGGACTGTTACAGAGGAAGGACAGGAAGACCACCAAGAAAACCAGCGGAAAAAACACCCACTGGATACCAGGGAATCACCCCTGGAAAACACCACCTGCAAGCCCACCTGACAGAGGAGAAAGGAACTGCAACAGACAACACACCAGACAGGACAAGGACAAGGACGGGTGACCTGCCTGAGAGGTCAAAACCTCACTCTGACCACCTGGGCAGGCGAGGGGCAACACCACCACCACCGAAGGCTGAAAACAAACAAACAGCCTCCCTCCACAGGAACGACTACGAAAGGAAAACCACAAAACCACAACAAAACACAACACTCCAACAGAAGAAACCAACAAACACAACAGTTAACAGAAAAAACACCCATGCAACCCCCCGAGTTTTGGGGCCCCTGATACCCCCACACATTCCCGAGTTTCGGGACCCCTGATACCCCTGCGTACCCCCGAGTTCAGGGACCCCTGATACCCCCTCGTACCCCCGTGTTCAGGGACCCCTGATACCCCCTCGTACCCCCGTGTTCAGGGACCCCTGGTACCCCCTCGTACCCCCGTGTTCAGGGAACCCGAGCAACCCTCAGCTCTGCCTCTACTGACCCAAAAAACCAGAAGTGGAAACGCTTCCACCTCTGAACTGCTACCTACCAAACAAAGCCTAAACCTCCTGGCTCTCTGCTCCACACTACCAGCACCCTGATCTCTTCTACCACCTCTTCTCTCCTCCGTCCCCCAGCTCACCCCCTGTTCCCTACTCCCGGCTCCCTGTTCCCTACTCACTGCTACCTCCTTCCTGCTCTCTACTCCCTACTCCCTGCGCCCTGCTCCCTGCGCCCTGCTCCCTGCGCCCTGCTCCCTGCTCCCTGCGCCCAGCTCCCTGCTCCCTGCTCCCTGCTCCCTGCGCCCTGCTCCCTGCTCCTTGCTCCTGGGTGCCTGCTGTCTGCTGTTTGCTGCATGCCGCCTGCTGTTCCTTGCCATGGTCGTCCCCCCGGGGCTCTACTCCTCTTCTGGTTCAGCTACCCCTGGTACAGGGACCGGATGTTCTCTGGATAGCCGAACCTGGAGCCTGGCTCCACCTTCCTCAAGGCGGTACACCTTGCATAGGACCTCCCGGTGCGCCCACACAGCTGTAAACTCCGCCATGGCCGTTTGCTTCAACTCCGCTGTAATGAGGCGCATCGGCAGGGCGTCAAGCATAGCCTCCGGCAGTGCTGCCACCCGGAACTGTGCCATCATGAGCCTCCGCAAGTCATCCACCACCTGTTTGACCACTGCTGCTGACGTTTTGGCCTCCTCCTCAGCCGCTTGGTGTGCACACCAGATGGCATGCAGGAACGTCAGCCGGAGTGCGTTCCATAGCTTGACCAGTCCTGGGCTACGGTTGGCTGCTGGGTGCCCTTGCCAGGAGTTTGGCTGATCTCCAAACATGAGGGCCGCATTGTCGACAGGTGGGGACTCCCCTTCCGTGATGGCCACCCACGTCTGCCCCAGCCACTGCCTTGCTTCCAAGTACTGCGGGCACTGCAGGAAGATGTGAGTTAGGCTGTCCCGTGGCCGGTACCGTGCTGCGAGCTGCGAGCAGCATGGCTGCTGGCAAAGGTGCCGATTGGTGCCATGCCGTTGACCCCGCTTAGCTGCCAGATAGAGTCCACAGGGCAGCCGGGCATGTGCCAGCCGCCACCCCAGAACCTTCGCCCGGTTGCCCGCTGAACATTCCCACAGCCTAAGCCAGGCATGCGAGTGCTCCCGGCCGGTATAGCGCTGCTGCTGGTGCTCCTGCCCCTGCTGCTGTTCCTGCTGCTGAGATTGCTGCTGCGGCTGGGACCCCCCTGTCCCCTGCACCTCTGCCGCTGACTGTCCTCCGCCGGCCGTCTGCTGGATATCCTGGCTGTGCTGCTGCGGCAACAGCTGGTGCTGCGACTGTCCATCCTGACGCTGTTCCCTCCGCTGCCTCCGCTGCTGCGCTGCTTGGTGCCTGGCATCACCCAGGTTGGGCTGCATCCAGCTCGGTGGGGGTGGTGAGTAGTGGGTGAAGCGGGACAAGCCACTGTGGGGTCGTTCCTGCTCCCATTGAGTCTCCATCTGCTGCAACGTGCTGCGTGGTGCCGATGTGCTGCCTCCTGCTCCTTGGGAGCTGGTGGGGCTGCCTGCCAGGGGCCAAGCAGCTGGGCGGAGGGGGACGCTGCCCTCCCCCATCTGCCTCTCTGCCTTGATGGTAGTGAGGCGGTGGCGGGCATTGCTAACCTCGTAGTGGACGAGTGAGACCTTGCCATGACCATGGCCTGCCGGGTAGCACTGAAGGGTAGCCCACGGGCCTAGCACATGTGGTTCAACTGCCCTATAGCAGTCGAACCAGGTCTTACCCCGGGGTTACCGCCCCCCCTACATTACCGATTTCACTACCGAGGGGTAACCGACCTGCCCGCGTTACCCCCTCGTCAAGTCCTCGTCAGGGGTCCGTTATCTCAAGGTCCGTTACAGGGGTATGACGAACCTCGGTAACCGAGATACCTAACCCAGCCATGTTACCCCAGGGTAACCAAGTCTGTTCGACCGCCTGGAGTCTGGGGCGCCGCAAAAGCACGCGCATGGATCCTCAGTGCACACTTAGTACTGTGCATGTTCCAGCCATGAGATTGTCGTCTTCTACCAAACTAGTCCTCCGCAATGCCATACTTATGAACCTTCTTCCATGAGATGCCACACATGCACACGCATGCCGCACACATGCGCACTCCCGTCACACGCGCCATACCTCAGCTATCCTCTACCCAGTCATAATCACCGTCTTGCAACTAAAACAACCTAGTTCGCAGTTGCGCAAGGCGATGCCCCCACCCCTTATCCCCCTTATATGAATCCCAATACGCTCCCTAAGCTTCCCGTACCGCAGTAGCTAGCTACGTTTGCTTCCCGTACCGCTATGTGCACCGCGGTCTATCTGCCACTACACTGGGCAGCCTCAAGCTCCGGCTCCGGATCGCCTGCTTGCTTCCTTGCGCCTCTCGCAGAAGGCTTGGCGGGCTGCCGAGCTGTGTCCTGCTCGCCACGAACACGGGGCTGTCGCTCCTCCTCGTTTTCTGCAAACACAGCAGGGTAGGCGTGGTGTTGCACGTTCTGTCACATACTTGTTACCATCTCGAAAGGAAAGTTTGATTAGTCATGGTACTAAGCACACTTCGGGACCCTTCGGTGGTGATATGTCTCAACCCCTTCGTGCATCACGCACCTTGGGCCGCCGCTGAACCACCAGGGCTATATCCCCAGGCATGCCACCGTCCACTGCGGCGCCCGCCAGCCCATCGTGCTGGCTGCCTGCCCCCTCGCGCGTTGTGGTCTTCACTGTAGTGGGGAGCAATGCACAGGTTGGTTTGGTAAAGGGCGGGCCCGGTATGATATTTTCATCATTTCTAGCAAGCGTCACACAGAAGGACGAGAGAGCAGAGTATAGGCACAGTTTCTACCTAGCACAGAAGGAGTTCCTATCGCCCGCTTACCTGACATGCTGGGTGTTTGCTGCTCGCGATGGTGATGCTTCCGAGCAGGAGGGTGAGCTGCCCCGTGATACAGTCAGGTACATCCACCGCAGCAGGCTTGCCAGCCTCCTTCCGCTCCTTTCTCGCAGGCCTGCACAATGTAAGGCACAGTGATAAATCCAAGGCTTGAAATTATCCAAGCAAGTAGCAATCCATTTGTTCTGAAAGGCAGGTTGTATCGAGTCAATCGGCAGCGGTCAATGTGTAAACCTAGAGAGAAATGTTACTCTTTACCTGGTGTCCGAGTCTCTCTGCACCATCTCCAAGTGCTGGATAAACCTAGCAGTGTTCAGCGTGAAGCAGTCGGCCCGCTTGCCCAGGCATCCCGACACGAGGGCGCACGCGTTTTTCACTGATTCGCTCTGATTGACTCCGCTTAGAAGTTCGCAGAAGCCTCAAACGTCATCTTTTGTCGTCGCAGCACGTCCTTGACATGGTTCTCCAACTCCATTCCAAGGGCGTCCAACGCTTCCTTGGGCGCGGTGCCCATTCCAGTGTCAAATAAATCACGGTAGCCATCTGGGCAGTTTTAGGAAGGCCCAGGGTACATAGTATCGCTTTTCCAGTGATAGCCAGTAGGCGCCTCTTGCCGGTCAAACCTCTCCACCAGCCTGCTCCTGCCTCTCGGCAACGGGTCATCATCAGCAATATAGTAGTTTTCCATTGTTGTTTGTTGTTTTGTGGAGCTTGGCTGCTAGGAGTGCACGCGTCCACCCGTTGTTAACAACAGCAGCGCGAGTGCCAGGAAGGAGAAACTATAGTCGAAGCCACCACACCTATTTATATATGCCTAAGCTATATTATGCAAGCCCACATAAAACAGTAAAGCATGCGGAGTGGCAAGAGCTCCTTTGGTGCCATAGCCACTGCCGTACCATTTGCAATTATTGTGGTGCAGCAAATCCCGACGCTCCTCGGGCTAGAATACCTATGAACATGTATATGGACTCGTCTATACGCTACGCAGCAGGCGTGCCCGTCATCATGCTGCCATTTTTGTCCTCCCGGCATGCATGGGCAGTGCACACATGTCTAGGTGCCGCAGAGCCTCCCTTCTCCCAAACAAGACCACCCTAGTACTGCTTACAGTTTGTGCTTTTGAGTCGGTGTCCTGAGCTATTTATGATTCACGGCCCGCTGCAGATGTAGAGCCATCGGAATCACTCTTTACTGGCACTCCAGCAGCCTCCATCGGTGTTGCTTCCCCTTTGTCCAGGCAGCCGCTGAACAGCAACATCAGTCTCGCCTCACCTCGGCGCACAGGAGCTGCCTAGGTTGCCTCACGTAGTACAAACCTTCTTAATGGATATGGTACCCGCCACGCACTGCGGCGCCAAATCCATAGCAGCAACCTGCAGGCTTCCATAGCAAGTGAGGGGCACAGACAGCATCATGACAATGGGCGGTACTGGCCTGTCAAGGCTTGCATGTGCATGCCGCGCTGGTTGCATGAAAGGCGGGGTCTTTGGGCTGGGTTGGTTACTCTGGCCGTATGTGCACAGCTGTGTCACCGCTGTCAGGACGTGCATGTGCACGCCGCGCTGGTTGCATGCGAGGCGGGGTCTTTGGGCTGGGTTGGTTACTCTGGCCGTATGTGCACAGCTGTGTCACCGCTGTCAGGACGTGCATGCGCATGCCGCGCTGGTTGCATGCGTGGCGGCGTCTTTGGGCTGGGTTGGTTACCCTGGCCGTACGTGTGCATCTATGTCAGCGCTGTCAGGACGTGCATGCGCATGCCGCGCTGGTTGCATGAAAGGCGGGGTCTTTGGGCTGGGTTGGTTACTCTGGCCGTATGTGTGCACAGCTGTGTCAGCGCTGTCAAGGCTTGCATGTGCACGCCGCGCTGGTTGCATGCGAGGCGGGGTCTTTGGGCTGGGTTGGTTACTCTGGCCGTATGTGCACAGCTGTGTCACCGCTGTCAGGACGTGCATGCGCATGCCGCGCTGGTTGCATGCGTGGCGGCGTCTTTGGGCTGGGTTGGTTACCCTGGCCGTATGTGTGCATCTATGTCAGCGCTGTCAGGACGTGCATGCGCATGCCGCGCTGGTTGCATGCGTGGCGGGGTCTTTGGGCTGGGTTGGTTACTCTGGCCGTATGTGTGCATCTGTGTCACCGCTGTCAGGACGTGCATGTGCACGCCGCGCTGGTTGCATGCGAGGCGGGGTCTTTGGGCTGGGTTGGTTACTCTGGCCGTATGTGCGCAGCTCTTGTGGGATGGTTAACCTGGCAGCTGTCTATAGACAGTCAGAACTTCATTTACAAAGGGACAAAGCAGCAGTTGTTGAACTTCGGATCTGCATTAGGTGCAGTACCACAACCACGCATACCAGCCTCGCCACCCCACTCGCATTGTGGAAACCTTTATACTCAGATCACGCTCCTGCCTATGCCACTACTCTGCACGACGGGTTGCCCCTCGCGTGGGGCTGTAGGGAAGGCACACGGAGGCGCCAAGGCGCGGGGCGGGGGAGGGGTTGTCATGGTACAAGCAGAAGCGTTCAGGGTGAGGGCGGCATGCAGCTACAGGCCCAACGCAAGCATGCGCCAAGTAAGCAAGGCTCGTGCGCTTCCTGACACCCCCCCCTCTCCGCCACACGCGCGTACTAACCTGGCCACAGCTGATGGCTCGCGCTGCATGCTAGTGCCGCCCCCGCCAATCCATCCTGCCCCGCCGCTACATGCCGCTGCCGCCACCGCCGGCCCTGCGCGTGGGGCTGTAGGGAAGGCACACGGAGGCGCCAAGGCGCGGGGCGGGGGAGGGGGCGTCATGGTACAAGCAGAAGCGTTCAGGGCGAGGGCGGCATGCAGCTACAAGCCCAACGCAAGCATGCGCCAAGTAAGCAAGGCTCGTGCGCTTCCTGACCCCCCCCTCTCCGCCACACGTGCGTACTAACCTGCTGGCCACAGCTGATGGCTCGCGCTGCATGCTAGTGCCCCCCCCGCCAATCCATCCTGCCCCGCCGCTACATGCCGCTGCCGCCACGGCCGGCCCTGCGCGTGGGGCTGTAGGGAAGGCACACGGAGACGCCAAGGCGCGGGGCGGGGGAGGGGGCGTCATGGTACAAGCAGAAGCGTTCAGGGCGAGGGCGGCATGCAGCTACAAGCCCAACGCAAGCATGCGCCAAGTAAGCAAGGCTCGTGCGCTTCCTGACCCCCCCCCTCTCTGTCACACGCGCGTACTAACCTGGCCACAGCTGATGGCTCGCGCTGCATGCTAGTGCCGCCCCCGCCAATCCATCCTGCCCCGCCGCTACATGCTGCTGGCCCTGCGCGTGGGACTGGAGGGAAGGCACACGGAGGCGCCAAGGCGCGGGGCGGAGGAGGGGTCGTCATGGTACAAGCAGAAGCGTGGGCGGGGGCGGCATGCAGCTACAAGCCCAACGTAAACATGCACCAAGGCGTGTGCACTTTCTGGCACCCCCCCCCCTCTCTCCGCCACACGCGCATATGCCCCTGGCCACGGCTGCTGGCCCGCGCTGCATGCTAGTACCGGTGAGGATTACCTTGCTTGCACAGTGCGCTGGCGTGCACGTTGCAGGCTGCACACTTGACCTCCGAGCGCAAGACCTGGAAGTGCCCCTCGGCGGCTTTGGGAACGATCGCTTTCAAGTCGTTGGCGCTTACCAACTTTGAATCCTCACCCTTTCGATGCACGGAACTGCAGTGGTCCTGGAAGCATGGTCCCTCGCAGCATGGCTCAAAGCAAACACTGCATCGCTGTCTGTACTGGCTACCATAGCCACCTTTGCCATAATTATGGCGATTCTGTCCCATCAGGCATAGCTCCCTCAGAGATTTTTGCAAACAATGCGCACACAATGGCTCCGTCAAACATCAGCGCTGTGTTAAGTCTTCCACACGCAGTACTGGCTTGTGGTAGTTTAAAGCATCTCATATCATAGATGCTTGACAGTTAGGGTAAAAGTGAAACCAGGGGGACCGTCGCATGACAGGAGGTGGTCCGCATAAGATAAGTCACGAGTAGATAAAGTGTAACTTAGGATCAAACTGTTATCGATAGAATTGAAGGCAGTTGGGCACAGCTCTGGCACAAAGCAGCAGCTTGCCAGTTGAACTGTACAACCGATTCCTGGGCAGGCCAGCCGCAAACCTCCAAAGATGGTGACAATAAGCCTTAAGTTAACGTTTGCAGTGGTAAGCCTTACATATAGCCGACTCCGGCAGAACCATGTTCCTGACCGAGGGGTAACGGACTGGTGCTCAGGTTACCTGGCGACCTGACTAGGGGGTAACCGGGCTGGCAGGGGGGTAAGACCTGGTTCGACTGCTATAGGGCTGGCCAAGCTGCAGCCTTGTTCTGGGGTGGTGCCGCAGCGTAGTTCTCGCGCTCCTCCAGCGTCCAAAGGGCCCTTTTCTTCCTGCACTTCAGCACACATGCAGCATGCCATGCCGGGCTGGGCTGGGGTACTGGGAGTTGTGGCTGCGGCTGCACCAGTCGTCCTGTGGAAGTGACTGCCCACACGCTGCCGGTTGGGTCGCTGATCCACCCTCCGCACGGGGAGGAGCTCCATGTTGGCAGCTGCGGGATGGGAGCCGTCACTGGGTCGGGCGGCAGCAGCTCTTTCCAGCTCAGCGGTAGGGCGGCCCTGATTTTGCACAGCAACGGCAGCTGCATGGTGGTAGTGGTTGCCCTCCGTAGGTCGCCCAGCGTGAGGGGCAAAGCGGCTGCGGCCCCTGATGGGAAGGAGAATGGCTCTGACGAGGTCGGGTCAAGAATGGCGGCATTGTAAAAGAGGGGCTCTGCTAGGATGGCCCGGGCGTCATCGTCCTCCACAGATAGGCTGAGCCGATTGGGGCACGTGTTACGGTAGGCCTGGACCAGGTCCTGCAGTCTAGGGGGCAGGTCTGCCGGGACTGGGCATGTGCCAAACACCCAACCCCAGCCCGTGGTGCCAGGAGGTGCTGCCTCCGCCAGCAGGTGTCGGTGCAGCTGCTTCCAGGGTTGGTTTCCGGGCTGAGCGAGCTGCACAATGGTCTTGGCTTGCAGGGCATCCAGAAAGGACTGCAGGTCAATGTGCCCGATGCCTCCTTGGTCCTTGGAAAGGCTGGCAACCCCTTGCTTTGGCAGCAATGTGGCGTAACCGCCAGATACCAGACTGGCATCTTCTGGGAGTGTCGACCAGGCCACAAACCCATCCACCGTCCGTTGGGCCCGCTGCAGTTGCTCTGGCCGAGGGGAGATGAAGGAGAAGTGATACGCCAGCGTGTTGCCCAAGACTTGCTTGGCGATGTGAGTCCTGCCAACCATGCTGAGGGAATGCGGGCTCCAGCAGCTGGCCACCTGCTTAAGCCTGCCTATCCTACCATCGTAGCAAAGCTTAGCTGCTGTGGGGATGTCGTCGGTCAGAGGGACTCCCAGGTGTCGGGGCGGATGACTAGCACTAGGCTCCCCAAAATGTGCCTCTGTCGCCGCATGGGTACCGGAGATGGGGCGATGGGTTCCCAGCACGAGGCCCTTGCTTTTGCTGGCGTTCTCTTTGGCGTTGCTGGCCCTGCAGAAGAGCGCCACTGCCTGCTTAGCCACCGGCCCATCTGCATCAATGTCGGATACCAGCAGGTTAGTGTCATCTGCATGGTGAGTCACTGCTGGCGCTGGGGTGCCATCAGGGAGCAGTGGAGTCCGGAGGATGTTGCTGCGAACCAGGTGGTGGAGGTAGGCTGTGAGGGGCTCCAGTTGGATGGCCCACAGCACCGGGGACAGGGGGCTGCCTTGCTGTAGCCCGTTGCGCACCGGGAAGGGATCAGACCGGATACCATTGACAATGATGCTGGCGGAGCCCTCTGCTGTCATCAGACGCAGCCATCCAAGCATGTTGGGCCCGAACCCCATGGCCTCGGCCACTTTCAGCAGCCAGGGCCGGTGAACCCGGTCATAGGCCTTTTCGATGTCCAGCATTAGCAGCACCCCCGCCTGTTGCGATCGTTGGAGCCACTCCAAAAGAGCTTGGTGATAGAGCACGTTGTCCCGAACGTCCCGCCCTGCCAGGAAAGCGGTCTGCAGGCCATCAATAAGGTAATCCAGTGGAGCTTGCAGCCTGTTGCTGAGCGCCTTCCCAACCAGTTTGTAGTCTGAGTTGAGCAGCGTGATGGGGCGGTAGCTGGGCAGCAAATGCCTGGGTAGGTCCCGACCCTTGTAGATGAGGGCAATAACCCCCGCTCGCCAGCTGTGTGGTAAAGCTGCTGCCAATGCTGCTGCATCTGTACAAGGCACCCCGCGGCCGTCCCTGAAAGCCGCGTTGACTGCTGCCAAAAGGAGAGGCCCCAGCATGCTCCAAAGCACCCGGTACAGCTCATAAGGAAGGCCGTCCAGACCAGGGGCCTTACCGCTGGCACACTGCGACAGGGCCGCCGCCAACTCCAACTCTGTCAGCTCTCCATCATGGCTCACACCATCAGCTGCGTCTCGCAGGTCGTCAGGCAGCTTGCGCTGTAGGTGCTGTAGTAGCTCCTCCTGTGCCTCCTCATCCACCTCCCCCACTCGGAAAAGGCCCGTTGGGCTGTCACTGCTGTACATGGCGTGGGCTGCTGCTGTTATGGTTGCAGTGACGCTGGACCCTGTGAGAGCCACCGGGACCTCGTCGGCTGATGCTGCCAGCGCCGTGATGCGTGTCGGCGCTCGGGTCTCCCTGCCCAGGTTATGGAACCACCGTGTGCCGCGTTCTCCTTGGTTGTTGTAAAGGGCTTCCTGGGCGGCCGTACGTGCCTGGCTGCTCTCGAGCATGGCTTCCTTGACAGCTGTGGTTGCCATTAGGGCCGCTGCCTTAGCCAAGGGGCAGTTGGGGGTTTGGTCCTGCAGCCGAAGGGCCACAGTTGCGGCCTGCCTGGCGGCCACCAGTGGTGCATTGCGGTGCTGCACATGGGAGCGGTGGAGGCCATCGGCTGCCATGCGGATAAAGGCCTTCGTTGCATCCCAGGTGTCCCGCGGGTCAGCACCTGGAGCCATGGCCGCCTGCTGCTGGACGTGTTGGGCAACCGCGCCCTCCAAGCTGGCCTTGAGCGCAGGATGGTAGAGAAGGTAGACTGGAAGCATCCACCCCCGGCGGCCCAGTGGGGGCAGTCCGGGAAGAGCCAGCTGAAGCAGGACCCCATGATGGTCCCCTGGTGCTCCAGCAACCCTCGTCACTGCCCGCACCCATGGCAGGCACTCCCGACTGATGAGCCACCGATCCAGACGCGCTGCTGAGGCTGGTTTGTTGTTTGCCGGGTGAGTGTAGCCTGCCGTACCCTCCCCACGCTGCGACCATGGGTCAAGCAGCTGATGCTCCTGCATAAGCTGTCCGAGTGCAGTGGCGCCCACCGACCGACTAGGTGAAGGTGCTGCCTCATCCTCTGGAGCCAGGACGCAGTTAAAATCGCCCCCAATCAACAGGCGTCGGTCCGTGTCCAGGTAAGGCGCCAGGTCTTGGAAAAACGCTGGTCTGTCCGTGGGTTGAGCCGGCGCATAAATGGACAGAAGCCGTAACCGGTGGTGATCAATGTCCCAATCCCAGCATACCACCCTGCCCTGTGTGTCATAGGCAGCGGCTTGACGGTGATATCCCGGCGGTAGAGACGCGGTGCTGGCGATGATAGCTGTGCCACAGCTATGTTGGGTGCCCGGGCTGAAAGCCAGCTCCCCTCTCCAAGGTGTTCCTGGCCCTGACCCTGCCTGAAGATGAGCTACCACGGCCTTGTGGCTGTCCTGCTTTACTTCTTGGACAAAAGTAACATCGGGCCTTGCCTGCAACCGCTGCTGATACGTTGCCAGCGCCCCCGCCTTCTGAGCCGACCCTAAACCGTTGACGTTAACGGTGAGGAGGGTAAGGGTCGGCCCCTGTAGGGTGCGTGTCATGGCACCGCGCCGCCCGGGGCCCCCACAGGGCACCCATGGCTGCGGCGGGGAGGTGGGTTAATGTGCTGATCAAATTGCTGGAAGAGCGCCTGACAGAAAGCCTCAACCATGGGCCTAGGGTCTACTTTTTCGACCGAGGGCAGGGAGGGGT